GGAGATTTAAAAGAATTATAGAATATATAAAATAAAAATACAATCTTAGGTTGGATTTTTAAATGTTTTGTATTTTCACCAAATCATCTGTATGAGGATTAGTTCTTGAAGAAGCTATTAAAATTCAGCGCTTTGTGTGCATATCAGATAATTTTGTACGACAAAATGACTTCATTATGCCTATAATAGAAACACTTATTTACACAATTTTTAGTTGAACCAAATCTACAACAGTATCTATCAGCAATAAGAAAATTGCTAATTGCTCTAAATTCAATGTTGTTTGAAAAGTGGATTTTGACTAAGTCCCTGAAAGTAACATAATGAATTTTTCAATTCATTTTTTAAGTCACTGATACAATCATGGTTGAGACCATGATGGTATACCGCCGTACCGTAGCAAGCGTACCAGTAGTTTCACCGTCCACGGGATAGGTTATTGCGTAATATTTCAAAATTAAAATTACCCCTTTTTTTCTTTAAGAAAAATTAACTGTTATTTCATTTATAATATAAAAGAAGTTTAGATAAACATTAGGTGACAAATATACTCATGCAGGTATTGTGGGTTTACATTTATGCGAATATATACAGAAGGGTTTGAATAAAAAAAAAATTTCAAATTTGAATGGTGCTAGAATTGGGAGATTTAGAATGACTGCTTTGAGAAACCGTCGGTTATGTCACGGTTTAAAACTTCCAAAGTTCTATGCTCACTACTATATTTCCTGAGCCGTAATGGCTCAGGGGATAGAGTGTTCGCCTTTCAATGAGGTGAACCGAGTTTTAATCCCAGCGATGGCTTGCCGACGCGAATTCCGCATCCGGCTTGCACCGACCACAGTGCTGGCGTAAAATATCCTCAGTGGTAGATGGATCATTGGTTAGAGTCCCCTTGCCGTCAGGCTAGCCTTGGAAGGTTTTCGTGGCTTCCCTCTCCATGTAACGCAATCGGGGATGAATTTATTACCACTATTTTTTCTTAGACTCGTTCGAAGCCAGTATATTAAGATCCCATTTCTCAATTATTTATCAAACACTTGTCTTTGATCAAACACTTGTCTTTATCAAACACTTGTCTTGAATTTTGTCTTTGATTATAATACTTTTATTAATAGTTTTTATTCATATTATTGAAAGCTCATATTGATATTTCGGCTGCTTCATCAAATTTATATTACGGCACAACTTGACAACAGAAAATAAACAAAATATTCCCTTTTCATCACTGTGTGCGCATGAACGAAAAATAGGTGTAATAAAAGATATTATTTACTTCTGTTCATCAATCAACGAAGAATTTAAAACAAGAATAAGAAAGGCAAAATTTTAAAAAGTGTATATGTTACGGTAAAAGTTAAAAACTAGTGAGTATATTTAACAACCAGTAATTATGCATAATCAACCACTAAATATAGCAAATATAATAAGTTTTGGAAAATTTATCAAATTAACCGGTTTGTTTGCATAATTCCCAACTAGCACTGCATTTAAATAGTTTAAACACACATAACGATAGAAAGCTGGTTACCTTTTACGGTATTAAGTAATGGCAGAAAAAACACCAAGTAACTAGTTGGCTATCTCTTTAAGAAAGCTCTGTTTAAGTGCCTTAAAATGACAAATATGAGGAAAAAAAAGTACCAGTTCTTATATTAAAAACAATTGGTTATGTAAACATAAAGCTTAAAAAGTACAATCAATTGAAAAAAAAGAACGTAGAAATTATCTGAGTTCCGTAAATATCGGAATGGGAATAACTTAAGGGTAGAGTTAAGTTAATACGTTATTGATGCGTCTAGCCAGGGCTGTTAGCCGCTATATATCGAAACGGAAAAGAGTAAAAACTGGTAACAAATAAATTTCATTTTTTAGTTTTTATCCGGGAGTAATAAAAATCCATAACTAGCAATTGTTTTTAACGGATGCAATTTTTATATTAAATTGCTTCATTGCCGTGATAAATTTCCTTACAGTGAATTGTTATTATTGAGAATAGATTAACTCCTCCCGAATATTGAAATAGTTCCTCTACCAGTATTTTCTCTTTTCCGTCCCGCTTTCAGGCCTGCATCTAGCATACAACATATGAATACATTTTGAAATATATTTATGTGTATAAGATAAAAAATTTTGAGAAAATAATAAAGATTAATGAAATTAGAAATAAAAAAAATCATTTTTAAAAAGAAAATTAAAAAAAACTTTTTTTTTAAAAGTCGGAAAACAAAACAATGAAGAGATATAATTTTCTGTTTTTATTAATCTTTCTTATTTTCCATTTTTTCTCTATATTATATTTTTAACTTATTTTATGAATTCTATATGCTTTCAACTAACACACAGTAAATAAAAAACTTATTTTCTTCCTATTTCTCGCTTTTTTTTTATCCTTTTTGTATATATATATATATATATANAAACATTCTTATGTAATATATATATATATATATATATATATATATATTGAAATGGTATGTTTTGTATTGCCATACAAAATTAAATTTGTATTTTCCATCGAAACCCTTGCCATCTTAGATTCTGGGTTAAATATTTCATTTGTGTTTTCTCGATATTTTTTTGTTGTTGTTGTCGTAAGATATTAAGGCATAGGGGGTGCGATCTATTGCCAAGTGTTCGACTTCTGCCACACCCATACGTCACACCCGTTTATAGGACAGACCCATACAAGCATCCATTTATTCATTCACAGGTTCTAATTTTGACAGATCGAATCCCGTACCCCCAAAGGCATGATCTGTTATGGGGATATGGAGGATTTTGTGACCCGAGAGATTTAACGTGCACCCTTCACTTACACTGTGTGTGTTCGGCAGGATGGATTCGAATTCCCGTCATCACGGACGGGAATCCAGGGTCCTTCCAACCAGGCTATTCTCGGCATACAAACTTTTGGTGAAACAGTATTATTAGACAGCACGATACCTTTCAAAAAAAGTAAAAAATAAAGAGGTTACTTCATTAGATTAAGAAAAATAACACTTGATAATCTTTAGAACTTCCACACATTTTTAAAGAAATGAAATGATGCGATTTATGGTTTTGAGAAAGTAATTTAAAGCTACACGTTTTTCAGTTATTTAATTTTTCTTTTTAAATTTCAGTTAATTTTGTTATTTTAGTTTAAATTGATGAAAGCCAATTTTGATGCGGCTAAAAACTTCCTTTAACGTAAATTCCACAAAAATAAAGATATTTATCTTAAATCTAAAATCTAATGTTTAAATATCTTTCAAAAACTGAAGATTTCAGAATGGATTTGGTATGAGTTTTGTGAGGAAAAAAATTTATTAGAGAATCTGTAATATATGAAATTCTGATTATGTGACGGCCTTAGATTTTACATGCATGCCTACCAAGTAGCAGTATAATTGAAAAATTTTTCACAAAGAGGTAGTAAAACAAAAATTTTCCAGTTTGGAGAATTTTCTAGAAACAAATCTATTAAGACATTTATGAGCATAATTAGCCAATAAATTGATCTCATCTACAGATTTTTTTTTAAATTATTGATTCGTCGCAGTAAAAACTTTTTTTAACTTTAACTTCAAGATTTAATACGTCAAAACGCTAATGTTGCTACCACTAAGAAAATTATTTCTCAATGGCCGTACATAGTGCCAAATAGATTAAATATCCCTCAACATTTTATTTGTGAAAATTAATTTAACACGTTGAATGCCATGGGGGTCACCGGTGACCGGGACTGAGTTTGTTCGCTGTGCCACGGGGGTCGCCGGTGACCGGGGAAGTCAAGATTATTAGAAACACATAATTCCAGTAATTTTTTAATTTTTTTATATTATTATCGTTACTAAAACGGTTTGAAGAAATTAATGCAATATAGAACACATAAAAGTAGTTTTAATTTATATACACAGAGATGCCAACTTGCTCCGGATAGCGAATAGACACTTTTTAAAGTGGTAGTTTATTAATTGTGATTCTTGGTTTAATAAATTCAATTTAGTAGATTTTTTTCCACCACTATTTCTAAACAATTCGTAGGCTTACATAATTCACCACTTTTTCAGTAAGGTCATGCTAAACCTTGTAAAAAAAACTAGCAAAATCTGTCTAATGTTTGCAAGTTTAGTTTGTAGTAGTGATGTGCCAATCGATTCATTTAAATGAATCGATTCTTTAGAATCAATTCACTAAAATGATCGGTTATATGAATCGATTCTTTGATTCTTTTTTTAATGGTCCATATAATGGAAGTCTTTATAAAAGGTGGTCGTACAAATTAGTTTAGACTGTTTTAGTATTTGAATTAGTTGATCTAGGTCAGGGGCTCTCAATATTTTTCTGCCATGGAACTCTAAATAATTAACGTTCTTTCGGCGGAACACCTGATAAAAGTACTATCTCGTGTAGCCGCTGTAACCTTTCCACGGAACCATAGGGCTTTACGGAACACCAATTGGGGACTATTAATTTAGATCTTAGGCTCTNCTATTAAAACGTTCTAGTTTTCAACATATATTCTTCATTTAAAAATAATAATCGTTATCATTTTTTCTTATTAATTCCTGTGTACAGGACTAGAAATACTTTCTTATTTTTATTCTTATTGATCATTTTAACGAAAATAAAAATACAATTATTTCATCTATTATATCCTTAAAAAAAAGTTCCTGCAGTTATGAATTTTTATTTACAGCAGAAAGCCGTCATCAACCATAATAAAATATCACGCAATTAATAAATAAATAAATAAATTTTATTTAACAAAATCAAACGAGAAAAAAAAATGAAACATATTACATCCCTGTATAAACTTTATATCTACCTATCGAGGAAATGAACATGACTGAAACTCCGTAAAACTCTCCCATGGTTGGTTAAGCATGCTGCCCATAGCTGTCCGAGTCATGGACTGATGATAGGGAGAGGAGGAAGAGAGAGGGGGTGGAATAACAAAGCGGGATGAAGAGATATTTTGTTTGATGGAGATTTTATTCCTATAATCTGTGGGTGACTGTGTGGCAGACAGCTATGTGGTGCAGGCCTGTGATCATCAGCCGCTGCGGTCGCGGGCCGCCCAATTGGATGTCTTCCTTAATTTATATTGTCATTGGATATTTTTTCACCACAACACAGGTATGCATTTTTTAATTGAGTTACTATTGATAACTAATACAGCTTTTGTTTTTGAAGTATTTGTGAATATAGTGGAAAACTATTTCTAATTAATTATTAAGCTATTATGAAACAAATGTTTCTTCATCACAACACAACTGTATATTTTTTTATGGAGTTAGTACTGATATTTGATACAGCTTTTGTTTTTGGAGTATTTGTGAATATAGTGGAAAATTATTTCTAATTAATTATTAAACTATTATTAAACAAATATTTTTTCATCATAACGCAGATATATATTTTTATGGTGTTACTATTGGTATTTGGTATAGCTTTTGTTTTTGAAGTATTTGTGAATATAGTGGGAAATTAATTATATTTAATTATTAAACTATTATTAAGCAAATATTTTTTCATCACAACACAAGTTTGTATTTTTTTATTGAGTTACTATTAATATTTCACATAGCTTTTGTTTTCGAAGTATTTGTGAATATAGTGGAAAATTAATTTTAATTAATTATTAAACAAATATTTTTTCACCACAGCGCAGGTATTTTTTTATGGTGTTACTATTGATATTTAATATAGCTTCTGTTTTCGAAGTATTTGTGAATGTAGTGGGAAATTAATTCTAATTAAATATTAAACTATTATTAAGCAAATATTTTTTCATCACAACACAGGTATGTCTTTTTTTATGGAGTTACTATTGTTATTTAATATAGCTTTTGCCTTTGAAGTATTTGTAAATATAGTGGAAAATTAATTCTAACTAATTATTAAGCTATTATTAACCAAATATTTTTTCATCACAACACAAATACGTATTTTTTTATTGAGTTACTATTGATATTTCATATAACTTTTGTTTTCGAAGTATTAGTGAATATAGTGGAAAATTAATTCCAATTGATTATTAAGCTATTATTAAGCAAATATTTTTTTTTCCACAAAGCAGGTAGGAATTTTTTTATGGCGTTACTATTAATATTTAGTATAGCTTTTGTTTTTTTAAGTATTTTTGAATATGGAGGAAAATTAATTCTAATTAATTATTATACCATTATTAAACAAATATTTTTTCACCACAACACATGTATCTATTTTTATTTCTTTTAATTGAATTACAATTGATATTTAATATAGCTTTTATTTTTGAAGTATTTGTGAACATAGAAGAAAATTAATTCGAATTAATTATTAAACTAAGCACCATATTATATAAATATAATATAGGAAGTAAAATTATTCCCTTAATTATCTATTTAAGGTCTGTTTGAAGTGAGGTTGTTTTGAGGTTTTAAGGTTAATTTGAGGTTTTAAGCTTGATTTGAAGTTTAGTTGAAGTTGATTTAAAAAGCAATATTGAAAAATCAACCACCCATGGTTTCAGATCAAGAAGTATAAATTAGTTTTTTTTTGTTTTTTGTTTCTTTCTTGAGGTTGATAGAAATTTAACCAAGAGCAACCAGCTTAGAAAGGTTGTTTTTGAGGTGTGCATGTTTTTTTTTCTGCACTTCAAGCAAATAAATATATTTCATGTGTGAATAATTTTTCCCGATTTAATCTAAAATCGTTGCTGAGCTCTATGTGAGATTGATTTTGTGAGGTGTAAATGAGGTTAAAATTGAGTTTTATTGATAAGGTTACTTTTGGTGCAAAACTTAACCTCATTTTCTATTATTTTTAATTTAAAAAATATATAATTATATAATTTTAATATAAGTAAGAAATATAGTTAGAACTAATCTCCGATGATGGAAATTTCTCTACGTCTAAAATAATTCTAGTCTGATGCCGGAAGCTTTTCTGTCCAAACATATATCTAAATAAATGTTAAAAGAAATTCAAGAATGAACTAATCAAACTACTCACGCTTGCAATAGCACTCTCTTTCAATTTTTAGAAATCGCAGAAATTATAGAGAAATAAATGAAATATTCTGATAATTTTTAGAAAAAAACATATCAAATAAAATATGAAGCTTGTAACATATATGGATAAAATACATAATAAAATATTACATAATAAAATGTAAAGTACATAATAAATGTGCACATAATTCTTGTCTGATAACGGAAATTTTTCTGTCTAAACATTTATCTTTGAAATTCATCGTTTTGTGGGCATATCAGATAATTTTGTACACAAAATGGCTTTATTATGCCTATAATAGAAAACACTTGTTTACGCAATTTTTAGTTGAACTAAATCAACAACAGCAATAAGAAAATTGCTATATATATAAAAAAAAATCTCTATAAGCAATAAGAAAATTGCTAATTGCTGTAAATTCAATGTTGTTTGAAAAGTGGATTTTGACTAAGTCCCTGTAAGTAACATTATGGATTTTTCAATTCATTTTTAAGTCACTGATACCATCATGGTTGAGACCATGATGGTATAACGCCGTAACGTAGCAAGTGTACCAGTAGTTTCACCGTCCACGGGATATGTTATAAATATTGCGTAATAATTCAAAATTAAAATTACCCCTATTTTTCTTTAAGAAAAATTAACTGTTATTTCATTTATAATATAAAAGAAGTTCAGATAAACATTAAGTGACAAATATACTCATCCAGGTATTTTGGGTTTACATTTATACGAATATATTCAGAAGGGTTTGAATGAAATTTTTTTATTAAATTCGAATGGTGCCAGAATTGGGAGATTTAGAATGACTGCTTTAAGAAACCGTCAGTTTTGTCACGGTTAAAATCTTCCCCAGATCTATACTCACCACTATATTTCCTGGCCGGGATGGCTCAGGGGATAGAGAGTTCGCCTTTCAATGAGGTGAACCCAGTTTTAATCCTAGCAATGGCTGGTCAACACGAATTCCGCATCCGGCTTGCACCGACCACAGTGCTGGCGTAAAATATCCTCAGTGGTAGATGGATCATGGGTTAGAGTCCCCTTGCCGTCAGGCTAACCTTGGAAGGTTTTTGTGGCTTCCCTCTCCATGTAACGCAATCGGGGATGCATTTATTACCACTATTTTTTCTTAGACTCGTTCGAAGCCAGTATATTAAGATCCCATTTCTCAATTATTTATCAAACACTTGTCTGTGATCAAACACTTGTCTTTGATCAAACACTTGTTTTTGATCAAACACTTGTCTTTGATCAAACACTAGTCTTTGATCAAACACTTGTCTTTATCAAACACTTTGTCAAACTTGTCTTTGATTAAAATACTTTTATTACAGTTTTTATTCAGATTATGAAAGTCTCGTATTGATATTTCGGCTACTTCATCAAATTTATATTACGGCACAACTTGCCAACAGAAAATAAACAAAATATTCCTTTTTCATCACTGTGTGCGTATCAACGAAAAATAGGGGTAACAAAAGATATTATTTACTTCTGTTCATCAATCAACAAAGAATTTAAAACAATAATAAGAAAGGCAAAATTTTAAAAAGTGTATATGTTACGGTAAAAGTTAAAAACTAATGATTATATTTAACAACCGGTAATTATGCATAATCACCACTAAATATGGCAAATATAATAAATTTTGGAAAATTTATCAAATTAACCGGTTTGTTTGCATAATTCTCAACTAGCATTGCATTTAAATAGTTTAACCACACATAACGATGGAAAGCTAGTTACCTTTTACGGTATTAAGTAATGGCAAAAAAGCATCAAGTAACTAGTTGGCTATCTCTTTAAGAAAGCTCTATTTAAGTGCCTTAAAATGACAAATAAGAGAATAAAAATTACCAGTTCTTATATTAAAAACAATTGGTTACGTAAACATAAAGCTTATTGCGTGCAAATCTTGTAAACCAAGCACTAAGAAATTTTCTGAGTTCCGTTAATACCGGAATGGGAATACGTTATTGATACGTCAAGCTAGGGCTGGTAGCCGATATATATCGAGACGGAAAAGAGTAAAAACTGGAGAAAAATATCACTTGATAATTTTTAGAGCTTCCACACATTTTTAAAGAAATGAAATGATGCGATTTGTGGTTTTGAGAAAGTAATTTAAAACTACACGTTTTTCAGTTATTTAGTTTTTCTTTTTAAATTTAAGTTAATTTTGTTATTTTAGTTTAAATTGATGAAAGCCAATTTTGATGCGGCTAAGAATTTCCTTTAACGTAAATTCCATAAAAATAAAGATACTTATCTTAATTCTAAAATATAATGTTTAAATATCTATTTAAATATCTTTAAAAAACTGAAGATTTCAGAATGGATTTGGTATGAGTTTTGTGAGGAAAAAAATTTATTAGAGAATCTGTAATATCTTTATATTTGAAATTCTGATTATGTGACGGCCTTAGATTTTACATGCATGCCTACCAAGTAGCACTGTAATTGAAAAAAATTTCACAAAGTGGTAGTAAAACAAAAAATTTCCAGTTTGGAAAATTTTCTAGAAACAAAACTATTAAGACATTTATGAGCATAATTACCCAATAAATTGATCTCATCTACAGATTTTTTTTTAAATTATTGATTCGTCGTAGTAAAAACTTTTTTTAACTTTAACTTCAAGATTTAATACGTCAAAACGCTCATGTTGCTACCACTAAGAAAATTATTTCTTAATGGCCGTACATAGTGCCAAATAGATTAAATATCCCTCAACATTTTATTTGTGAAAATTAAATTAACACGTTGAATGCCATGGGGGTCACCGGTGACCGGCACTAAGTTTGTTCGTTGCGCCACGGGGGTCACCGGTGACCGGCGTAGCCAAAATTATTAGAAACACATAATTCGAGTAAATTTTTAATTTTTTAATATTATTATTGTTACTAAAATGGTTTGAAGAAATTAATGCAATATAGAACACACAAAAATAGTTTTATTTATGTACACAGAGATGCCAACTTGCTCCGGACAGCGAATTAATATTTTCAAGTGGTAGTTTATTAATTGTGATTCTTGGTTTAATAAATTCAATTTAGTAGATTTTTTTCCACCATTATTTCTAAACAATTCGTAGGCTTATATAATTCACCACTTTTTCAGTTAGGTTATGCTAAACC